CTCAAGGATGGTAATGAGTTTATGTGTTCGTGGTTCTAAAAGGTGGGCTCGAGAGTTCAATAAAAAGGCATCAGAGGCTACAAAGATAAAGCAAAGAAATGAAAACTGAAGACAAGCAAACTGGAAAGAGCAAGTAAAAGCAGCAGAAGTACCTATCTATAGCAGAGAAAAAGCATACAATGAGATTTTGATTGCTCCCTTCCAACCTACCCACCACGATTAAAAAAAAAGGATGTAATAACCTGGGCATATAAAGGATATTTTAAAGAGTAGTCAGTGAAGTGAAATTACTAGGCTATTAAGCGGGTTTTATAGTTATACCACCCTGAATGTGCCCAACTTCATCTGATGCCACAGGCTAAGGAGGATCAGGTCTGCTCAGCACGTGGGTGGAGAATACTAACTTGGTGTTAAGAGTTCAAACTACTATCTGTCTCATGAAGTGTAGCACCAAAGGCTTAAAAAAAAAGGAATTTAGATGCTGTTAAAGGGAATAAAATGAAGGAAATAAAACAACAGAAAAAGCATGGTAATGGTTAGGAGAAGAATAACCACATTAACACAGATGAGGAAAACTCGAAATTACGGTATCTCAAAAAACCATGAATGTGTCTGAGGTATGTTTATTGCTAAGAAATACAAAATAAAGATATCTTGTGAATGCAAAGAAGATCCAAGGCCTCTCTTCCTCAATAACCATTAAAACCAGAAAGTAGTTTTATCTTTATAAAAAGGGGGATAATTATAGATACTGGCTCACTGAGAACAGTATCACATTCATGCATTAACAGAACATTAAAAATACACACATCCCCCTGACTACCTCAAAGTTACTATACATTTTTGTGTGTAGTATGAATATATGTGTATATACGCATATGTACATGTATATGCTGACATACATGTACATGTGTGTGAGTGGTTAACTGAGCAAATAAGGGTGTGTATTAATTGCCTGAGCGATTTCGGGAGTGTATTATTGTTGAAGAAGCAACTATCAAATATATTTAACATGTAAATATTCTTTTTTAAAAATGGATTGTAGTTTTTAATTATCTAGCTTGTCTTTCATCACAAACCGGGTTTCGCATATGACAAATCCCAAGATTTATGACAAAAAATTTCATAAAGCTGTAAGAGAATAATAAGAAATAGAAATTTAAGAAAGTAACCATAAGATGCGAAAGAAAATCAGTAGCATAAAAATTTTTCTAAAAAAAAAATTAAAAAATGGTTTCATCCAAAAAGAAAAAAATCTATGGTGGCCAAAATAACTCCACGCTTTAGTTACTCTTTATAATTTTCAACCAGTATTTATATTCTTAGTGTTCAAACGATGGCATCATGCAAGAAAGCAACCTGTCATGCGATTGCGATTACTTACAAATTTTAATTTATTATTTTTCACTGTCCAGAACTTGCTAATAAAATTCTAACTGCGAAATCTTAAGGACACATGAAGATTTGATGTTTTCTCTTTCCTCTTTCTCAATCTCTACCTTCTGGTGTTCAGTTCCTTAAATAAGGAAAATGAATCCAAAGCTGAAGTACTTCTGACCTCCTATCAAGTTTCCCACTCCAGATTGAAGTACGCCTGGCTCCCTTTCTCCATTTGGATCAGGACTGTTGTTGGCCATTTTGCTGGTTCAATTCTGGTTCCTAGCAAATGCCAGGCTCACCTGGAGAGCAAGTGAAAAGAGAGGCTCACATCAGAAAAATAAACCCAGATAGTAAACCCTGCAGAGAACAGTGCCTGAGTCACTGGAGCAACCATCCAGGAAGGTACAGAGATTGATGGAGATGGAAAAAGATGCATGAGGATGAAGGCTTACTGCAGTTTATTGCATTAAGCTTTTAGAGGGACAAGAGGCAGGAATGGATAAACTATGCCAACTGAATTTCCATTTACAACTTTAAACAGAGCCGTCCTATGTTGGTTGGAACTAGGAAGCAATTTACTTATTTCTAGCCATCCTTAGGAGCATTAATAAGATTATTTCCGAATGCAAAATCTTAGGACTGCAAAGGACAGTAGAAAAATGTTGGGCCTGGACTAAAGAATCCAGCAAAGTAGGCTCATGGTAGTCTCATCCCAAAGGGCTCAAGTTTGTCTGAGGTCTCAAAGTCACCGAGTCTGCAAACACGTTTAGCTTAACAGCACTGTTTGCTTCTAAAATCCTGAATTTCACCTATGTTTGTCTCCAGTTTAAGGGCAACTGAGAACCCAAGCAGCACTGCTCAAAGTAGGCTCTGGTTTGGGATACTTGAATGATTTGAGGACAGTAAAGAGATCCTTCATTAGAACTCTACTTTTGTAGCTATAAAGGGATTAAATTAAGCCTGTCCACAGGATTTATTGGTGGATTGAGTTATTATGTTTTTATACATTTTATAACTCACTTGCAGGGATAAAAAATGGTCAAAGCCCTATACTAAAATATCTAATAAGCACTTAGGAATACTAACAACTTATATCCCAGTGCACTACAAACAGACAGAAGGCATTCCTTCCAAGCTATCAAAACACATGACTTTCACAGTGTGAATAAGTATCAGAGCATGAAGCTCCCTGGCTGTCAAAGATCCCTCAATGTACTTGCTTCTCCAACTTCTGGGTTGGTCAAGGCTGCCCATGAATCACAATGGAGAAAGGAACACCACGCTGTGCTTAACTCTACACAGAAGAAAAGCTGGAGATGATAATCCTCAAGGAATAAACAAGCTAGTTACTTCTCAGAGTGAGATACAACACATCTATTAGCATGATGCCTGTCACCTGCCAAGTTAAGGCCACTTCCAAAAGAATCATCTCTCCAAAGGTTCAGCTTAATGATCAGTATGTGTAAGGTAGAATCTGCAGATCTAAGTAAAAGAATTTAAGATTTCTGAGGGCTTTCACCTTTCCCAGCAAGATTTTGTTTTGTTTTATCTGTTATGTACTGTAGAGTCGAAATCAACTCATAGCTGACCCTCCAGGGGGCCAGCAGATTTTCAGAGACTAAATAGCACACAGGAGGATTTGAACCACCTGCCTTCAGGTTGGCAGTGAAGCTCCCTACTAATAGACTTCAGATCAGAGTACTGAATTAAATGATGTAGAATTCTGGGTGAGGGGGGAAATAAATACACACACACACACACACACACACACACACACACACACACACAGCAGTCTGGGGAGAACTGGAGAATAAAGAAGAGTGTGCGCATGTGTGTGCATGTGTGAAAGAGAGAAGCCTACTTGTTTCACTTTAAACCTGAGACATTATACTATCTTTTTTTTCATGTAATAAGGATCTGGACTTCTGCAACCAACTATTAAAAAGTGTTACACTTAGAAAGAAATTCTGGCTTTCTCTCAGCTATTATCATTTCCTGAGTAAGACAGAAACCTTTTTGGTACGTTTTCCTACCTCCCTCTTCCTATAAACCATTTCAGGTAATAAACTGCAGTAAAGCTCCTCATTTGGTCCCTCTGGTTCCCTCGGCAGGCTGCCTGGGGCTCAGACTCTGTTCTCTGCAGTGTTGGTTGGCTGGATTTCCTTTTTCCTGAGAAGTCTCTCTCTTCTCTTAAGCTATAGGTGAATCTTGTGTTTTTCAGGTGTCTGGCAGTTCTGGCCTTAGAAAGGGGCCAGGATTATAAACCGAGAGGCAACTAGCAAAACAGAATCTTAATTCAAATGAACTTGGAAGTTGGTAAATATCAAACTGGAGAAGAGAAACTGATAGGACTCGAAGTACTCTACCTTTTCTGGATTTCTTGTTTTTCCTCTGGAAGAAACTCTTCACTGCAACAAAGAATGTGAAAGGGTAGGAGGAAAGGAAAGAAATAACAAGACAAAGTATATCAAGTCTTATGAATGATCTATAGAGTTCTGGACAGTCAGAAATCTTGGGGCACGGCTGTTAGTTTACTAAAAAGGTCCAATCTTTATCATGGCCGCAAGCCTTGACCTTATGTACCATTGAGCTGGTGCAACTCTGAATTGATCCTCCAGTGGGTTCCAATGGACAGTAAAATCACATGGGAAGAAATTGTCCAAATTTTTTCCAGTGAAACTGGTGGATTTGAAACAAATACCTCTGGATTGGTAGCACAGCTCCATATCCCTTACCCACCAGAGCTCCTTCAAGTTTTAGAGAAAATAAGAGGTAAGGGGTTGTGTGTCTTCTGATTAACTTGTTATTATTAAATATTTACTTGGGGAGACCCACTTTGTGATCTAGTTGACATGGATCAATTTTCACAGTTGCCATCTTTCTAAAGTCTCTTTCAGATGTTAGAAGTGAAAATTAAGAAACGTAAGAATTTGTTACAGAATATAAATACTGACTCCATTACACCAAAAACCATTATCTTGATAAAACCCAATAAAACTGGATAGTAAGGTTTTTTAGGAAAAACAAGTAATAACTGGATAGTACAATTTTTAGGGGAAAACTGTAATACACGTCAGTTGATAATCACTTTCACTATAAAAAGTATTCCACCCAGATGCTGAAGGGTTTCCTCTTGAAATATTTGAAGTAGCATAGCAGAATGTATACAGATTTCTGAGAAGTCTCTCCACTATCATATGCTACATACATTTTCATAGTAGGTAAGTGATATGACAATCATCATGTGGCTTTTTGGGTGATTAAAAATGATAAGAATTTTAATAAGATAAATATTTACTGAAGATATAAAGCAGTTTGCAATGTGGTTGTCAGGAGTACCATTGTTTACAAAATTAAAAACCTTCCCAACCCCACCCCCTTGTTGTGTACCACCAAATCGGATCTGAATGGCACAGGAGGAGACTACCCCTCCTCTCCAGCAGAACATCTGGTGGATTTGAACCACTCGCCTTTGGGATTGCAGCACAGCTTCTTACTACTATAGCTCCTTAAAAAATGAACTCTTAATACAGATTAAAGTACGTAAAATATTCCAGTACAGAGCAAAAATCAGCAATGGCAATTAAGGTGTGAGGCAAGAAAAAAAAAATGGTTCGTACCTGCAGTGTACAATTCTCTTTCCGTTTGAGAAACTCCACAAACCTGGCCACAACTCCTGGTGTGCTGATCACTTCATCAATAGGAGGGTTAGGTTCTGTTTTCATAAAATAAAAGAAAAAAGATAATCCTATGATTTCCATATAAGGACTTCCAGGCTCAAAATTAATTAGTATCTCCTTTTTCATTAATTATTCCGTCCATGTTAAAGTCCAAAAAATACTGTAGAAGTGAAACTAAACTCAGTTACTTTAAGGCAAGGCAGTCATGAAAGGTTTCATGAAGAAGTCTTATGATAAGAATAAAGGACATGCCAAAGTCTTAAAAATTCAAAGTATGGATTCGATTATCTTAGAGAACATAGAAAGTAGAGGGTGAAATACCCAAAGACAATCACTGTTAATCTGTTAATCTCTTAGTAATCCTTTCTTTGTGTTTTCACAGAGAAAACACCTAAGTTGTCTTTAAAAACTGCATGAGGAGATTCTGCACATACTAAAAGGATGTAATTTTTTGGAGTCAGAACTCACCAAAGATATGATGGCAATAGAATTAACTATAATTTTCTATGTGTTTCCTACTGCCAAAGGGGCCCTTTAGAGTAGTGAGAGAAGATCTTCACCCTGAAACCCACAGCGTCCCTTTTCAGCAGGAAGTAGCTAAGAGAATACGCCGTGCCCTTTTCCTTATGACTCAGGGTGAAGTCTCTCTCAGGGAGGAGTGATAGGGAATGGCAAAGGATACACTGACAAAGAAGATTGATCAGAACTGGCTTTGACAAGCACTGTGGCATTTGGACAAGAACAAACTGGGAGGAGGGTAGAGAGAATAATGCAACAATGAATGAGTGGAAGCCCAAAATCTCTGTAAATGTTTATGAAAATTAATAAAATATAATTAAACAAAAAAAAAAGAATTAACTATAATTTTTTATAATAGCTTATTGTTATTTGACAGAAATTTCCTGATAGAAAATGTTTTAAATAAGTGTGCTAATTTCAGCTAAAATTTAGTGAGGATTTTGATAACATTCAGGAAGAAGTACCAGAGAAATGGCCACTGGATTACAGTACTTAGTAGGGAGATTTTTATCCCAGCCAATGGAGAAAGCAACTAAGGAATGATAATCTGGAAAAAGAACTAAGGACAGGTCCTGTACATAAATACAAGAAACAAATTTGAAAATTACAATAAAGATTAATGCTTCATTATGCTAGATAATAGCAATAATATATAGAAAGAAGACAAAGATAGTAATAAAACATTTGAGGATAAAGCAAAGTCCAGTTAACTCAATTTTAAAAAAACAATTAAGCCACATTTTGTGAGAAACCTATTAGACTGAGTATGCTGAAAAGTGGGAAGTACACATGATAATTGGCTGCAAATACTTAAGAGGCTGTCAAGAAAAGACAAGACATAATTTTACATATGGTAGCAGCTTTATTTTTTTATTTTTCATTTCAATGAACATCTACAGAGATTTTAGAATTCCATTCATTCATTCATTCATTGTTGCACTTTTCTCCCCACCCCACCTGCCCGATCGTTCTACTCCTTGAAAAGCAAAAGAAAAACTCCTTCATTGTTACACAATCCTCCTACCCCAAATATAATCCACTCTGCAACCCTCATTCTGTACTCTTATGATAAACATAATGCACTAAAATATAATACTTTTAAACTATTCTCTCCCTCATCGGCTACAATGCAGTAAACATAATTTATCCAGTTTTTCTCAGTCTTACCCCCACCCCAATGTCAGTCTCATTCTACAACAGTGGCACCATATAGCAATTGTCCCTTTGTGACTGAGATATTTCACTCAGCATCATGTCCTCCAGGGAGTTTTTTTATTTTTCTGGTTTTCTTCCAGTTAGTTTCAAAGGGTACACAGACATCACCATCTATAAAGTTCCTAACTGGTACAAACAGCTTGTGCTCAAGTGCTAACAAAGGCTGGCAGTTCAAAGTCAAGTACCACAAAAAATATAGCTGTGAAAACGCTACAGAGCAATTCTACACTCTAACACCTGAGATCGACATTAGTCAGAAATGAGTCAACAGCAATTAAGAGCACTAATTCTATAAAAGCAGTAACTGAATACTAGGTGGCCAATTTTAGTGTTGATTATCAATTTTTTTATTCTTTTAAATTAAATTTTATTCATTTGAATGAACATTTACAGAGATTTTGGGTTTCCATTCATTCATTTTTGCACTATTTTCTCTATCCTGCCCCCCCAGTTCATTCCTCTTTTTCCCCCCCTTGAAAGTCTGTTTTAATCGTGATTATCAAATTTTTAACATGGTTCAGTTTATTTGTTCAGAATAACAAGACATATGAAATTCTACTCTACACTAATCATGGGCAGAGGGCAGTGAGATGAATGTAGTTACCCTGCTGACCAAGAAATCTGTACTTTACATTCAGTGGTAAATTACTAACATTTAAGTCAAGATTCTTTCAAGTGATATTTTTACTTTTCCTTAAAAGAAGGGAGAACTGCCCAATTTGAATTGAGATGCTGACTAGCATTCTGATCACTCTAGGTTCTTTTATGGGATAACCCACAAATAAAAGCTTCTATAAGATAGCCTCAGAAATAAAAATACTGCCTTCTGTTTTGATAAAAGCTTACAAATAAATAAAGCTGGCAGGCAGGATTCATAAATATATGTTTCTCTACATGTGTTGAGAGGCACATTATAAAGTTATCTATGATAACATACACAAGATATATATTATAACATAATATGGAAAACTAGTATTTTGTAAAGAAGTGAAAAGAACTACACTCAACACATGCTGAGCTCACCTTTTGAAAGCAGTTTTCGGAATTTCTGTGTTGCTGAAAGCTGTTGCTCTGGGCTATTGGAAAATATCATTTCAATCATGTCAGAAGTAATAACACCACCCTAGAATCACAAATGGAAGCAAATACAGTAAAATGTTAAACTGAATTAAAAGGAAAACAAGATAAATGAAAATGTATTAAAAAGCCAATTACAGTTCTCAAAAAAGTTTACACATATGTTAAAATTATATACAGAACTGCATTACAGGGGAGCTCTGGTAGCGTAGTGGCAAGAAGCTGCACTGCAATCCCAGAGACGCATGGTTCAAAACCACCAGATGCTCTGCCAGTAAAGGAGGGACAATCTCTTCCTGTACCAGTCAGATCTGATCTGATGGTACACAAACACACACACAAAATAATAATTTTTAAAAAAAAGGGGGGGGAGAAAAAAAAAAGAAAAATTGTTCTAAAAAAAAAAAAAAGAAATGCATTACATTATTAATAATGTGATCAAACAAAAAACCTCAACTCACTGCCTTCAACTCAGAATCAACTCACAGCTGAGGCTACAAATCACACATGCGATCGCCCACCTTTCTCCTGAGGAGCCCCTGGTATAGTCTAACCTCCAGAGGCATTGCCTTTGGGTTGCAGCGCAACTCCTTACACACTGTGCCACCATAGCTCCCTAATAACATGACAGGTGAGCATATATCACCCACAACATTTAAAAGCTCAAAATAATGATAAGTAGGCAATAAGACAAAAAGGTTTTATTCCTATCAGAAATTTCAGGTCTAGGAATATTAAGTCTGAAAACTGGCAAAAGTAATGTGAACAACAAAATAATAACCAACAAGAAAAAAAATACAAATGTAAGAATTTCTATCTACAGTATACATGGTGTAAAACTTTAGTTACTAAATATAAAACAAATCAGATGAATACTTATATCACAACCACCAATTATAGTACACCTTGAAAGGTATGGGAGATACATCTCAAAATCACTGCAGATCTCCAGGTTTTTAGAGATGGCTAAAATATAAACTTTTAAAATGATCAGAAGTTATAGCAGTTAATTTTCATTCTTCTCATAAAGAGTACAGGCTTAAGTAAAATATATTCTCTATTCAAAACACACAACATTGCAAAAATGTTTTACAAAGGCCTACAAGATAGTGATCCCTGCTTATCTCTTGAAATTCATCTCTTGCCAACTAAACTGAGATTGCTTTGACCACTATTCTTTACCTGACAACCTTTGAACTACCTACCTAAATTGTTTTTCCTTTCCTTATTTGTCACATTGTTGGCTGTTTCTTTCATTCAGTTCTCAGATTAAATGTAAACAGCTCAATGGTGGTTAATTTTATAAAACACAATATATAGGAATAATCATATGAAACACAGTACCAAAGGGAAAATAGACTGTGAAAAATAATTGTCAATGACTTATTAGACAAGGAATGAATATCTACTATTTCTAGAATACTCCAAAACCTCAACCAGAAAGAGACAAACAACTCAATTACAAAATAGGCAAATGACAATACTGGTGCTACGTTCTTCTTCCAACTGTCCATCTACTCAAATGATTTGTTCAGTACACAGACTGAATAGGGGGGGAGAAAGATTGTAGCTTTGACACACAGCTTTAATGATTGTAAACCATGCAGTCCTGCCCACTTGTTCTGTTCGTTTAACTATTTCTTGGTCTAAGTACAGGTTTCACATGAGTGCAATTAAATGTTCTGGGTTTCCCATTCTTCTCAATGTTATTGATCATTTCTTACGATTCACACAGTCAAATAAATGCCTTTTTATAGTCAGTAAAGCACAAGTAAACATTTATTTCTCGTTCCAGGGTCTCTTCTGAATCCATCTTGTAGTTTCTTACTTACGAACTGTTGCAGCCATGTTAAAAATAATCTTCTGCAAGATTTTACTTGCATTCAATATTATGACATTGTTCAGTAACTTCTATATGCTGTTGAATCACTTTTTTTGGAATGTGAATAAATGTGAATCTCTTCCTATCAGCTGACCAGTTCCGTCCTTCAAATTGCTTGGCATAAGGTAGTGAGCATGGTTAGGGCTGTATTTTTCTGCTGAAATATCTCAATCGGTAACCCATTAAATCCTGGGCTTTATATTCTGCCAATGCCTTCAATTCAGTTTGGACTTCATCCTTTACTTCAGTACCATTGGTTCTTGATCATATGTTTGTTACTTCCCAAAATGGTTCAGAGTTGACCAATTCATTTTAGTAAAGTGAATCTGTATTTCTCTCATCATCTTTTTGTGCTTCCCTTTCCATTCAAAATTTTGCTCACAGAACCTTTCAGAATTGCAACGTGAGGTCTGAATTTGTTCTTCAGTTCCTTCAGCTTGAGAAATGCCAAATGTGCTCTTCCCTTCTGGTTTTCTAGTTTCAGCACTTAGTACATTTCACTGTAATACTTAGCGTTGTCTTCTCATGCTTCCCTTAAATCTGTTAAGTTCTCTTACTTCAGTACTTCTCTTTGTTTTGGTCTCTTTCACATCTAATGCAAATTTCAAGGCCTCTTCTGACATCCATTTCAGTCTTCTCTATCTTACCTGTCTTTGCAGAGGTAAGGCTGTAAATCTTTATGAAAGAAGGCTGTCACATTTTTCCCTCCACAAAACTGCTGGTGAGTTCAAACTATTAACCTTCTGGTTTGCCACTAGATCTACTTATAACATGTACATATATTCTAGTTCAAAGAAAATGTATATTTTATAAGTATATTTTTTAAAAAATCTCAAAATAATTCAGAATCTAATGATGCAAGTGCAAAAAATTTATTAAGACTGAGATGAAAGAAAATTTTTCACTACAGGTTCTGAGGGTTTTTTGCGTGATAAAAAGTATTATCAATGGAAGGTCTACACAGGTCTGATGAATATAAATAATTTATCATTTTTTATCCTTTTCTGAAATTTCAAAAAGTTATATTACACTAATGCTCCTTATAGCATTTTTCATAAGAGCCAAAATGTGGAAATAAAATGAATATAAACAGATAAATAAACAAGATGTCGCGTATCCATAAAAAGGAATTTTAATCAAAAAGAGAAAAAAATGCATACTATGGCATTAGTAAATCTTGAAAATCTTAAGCTCAAACTCAAAAATGACCTTCAGTGGGTTTTCAGAGGCTGTAAATCACACAGAAGGAGACTGACCATTTTTATCCCTCAAAGTTGTTGGTGGATTCAAACCACCACCACAGAAGCTGATATAATAAGTCAAATAACATATGATTCACTATCCATTTGGAGAAAAATAGTGCACTGTGGTAAAAAGTACATTATGGTAAATGACAAGTATTTTCCCACAAAATATTTTAAAAGATTACCAAAAAAAAAGATTACAGTACTTGTTATTTAATTGTATAATGTCCAATTTTGTAGCTAAAATGAGTAACATGATTTCCTTTAATGTTTCTCTTCTATTTAACTTTTAAGGAATAATTCTGTAAATCATCACTTTGTATATATCATTAAAGTTAGAAGTACAATTAAGTCAATTTTGTTTAGCTGAACATTGTGTGAAACAGTAATATTTAATAAATTATGAATTACATGTATTTTTAATAAATGAAATATCAAGCACTTTTTGTAGCTATTTCTTATCTATATCTCAACTCTTAATTATAAAAAAAAAATCAGAGTTCCTTTCATCTCACTTACAGGTGCCATTTCCATGTTATTAATCTGTGCCTCATGGAAACCTCCATCTGCCATAACTTCCTCACTTTCTTCTTCTGCTGTAGCAACATTTCTTCGCTTGAATAACTGAAAAAAGAGGGGGAAATAATTATAATTGTCATTCTAAAACAAAGGAGTTTAACATACAAATTCTCCATTTAAAAAAGAGCCAGTTTAAAGTTCTGAAAATGGTTTTAAAATATCCTAAGGTCTGTGCCTTTCTCATTCTTTCCCAATGAGGTTATTTCTATTTCTCCAATCTTATCTAAAATATTAAATTGTCACAATACTTTATTACCAACATTTCAGGAGGTAAAACTTAACTAAGAGAGGCCTGACATTAAACAGTATAAAAAGGTTGACAATGTTAGACATGGCAGATAAAACCTGCTTAGCCATTTCCCTCTTCTCTCTACTGGATACAGGCAGTATTCTTACTACTATGCCAAGAACAATGAAAATAATGTCAGCACAACATAACATTTCTCTCTTTAACCCTCAAGGTTGGTCAACTGAAGCTTTCTGACTGACCTTAGTGATGATTAATAACAAGTGCCTGGACATTAGTTTTTCAACCTTCATTAGTTTGTATAAGTAAAAAATATTTCTCTCTAAAAGCCTTTCATTATATTCTTAAGAGACGGGGGTTTTTTAAGTACCAGAGAGTCAGAACTAACCCATAGCTGACGTTCTAGCAGGCAGTAAACTGTACAGGAGGAGAGTGCTCTTCAAATGGTGTACCTTCAGGTTGACAGTGCGACTCCTTAACCACTAAGCTACCAGAACTTACCCAAGGGCCCTGGGCTGTTGTTGTTGTTAATTGCCTCTGAGTCGAGCATGACTCATAACAACTCTATGAACAAAAGGCTTGAAAAGCCGCTCTACAACTATCGACATTTATCAAAGGTCATAGAGTTTCCGTAGGCATGTTATTTAAGAAGTGGATGCCGCTCCTGCTTCCAAACCCATAGTATGCTATTGTTTTTATATGCCACTGAGTAGCTTGCGATGTATTGCGACCCAACGTACAGCAGCTCTCAATCCTTCCCTGTCCTGAGCCAGTCTCACTAATTTTGATACACCAGCCCCCATCACCCGAATCACTGTATCAATCCATCTCATCATGAGTTTCCCTCTCCTGTGCTGTCTGTCCAACCCTCTGAGCATGATGTCCTTCTCCAAGGACCAATCTCTCCTGGCCACGTGCCCAAAGTAAGTGAGGCAAAGCCTCAAAATCCTAGCCTCCAAGGAAAGACATGGCTTCACCCTCTCCAAAATAGACCTATTTGTTTTCTTGGCAGTCCATGGTATGTTCAAGACTCTTCTCCAGCAACACAACTCGAAGGCATCTATTCTTCTGTCATCCTTAGTCACTGTTCAACTTCTCTGAAGCATAACAAGAAAGTGAGAAGACCCTGGACTGGATTAGGCACACCTTATATGCCAAAATAAGTACCATCTAAACATAAAGCTTGGGACTACACACACACAGGGTAGTCTGTTCGAAAGATTGGCTTTACTAATGAAGATTTTCCTATCTAAAATCTCCATACCTTTGTTGCTCCTCACAGGACTACACTGTGCAACTGACGACCAGGATTGGAAGGGAGAACTCAAAGGAATGTGGTGGACCCAAAACAGTAACTTACCATGTGCACAGCCAATCAAGGAGGTGTACACATGTAGCTAGCCAAGTAGAGGTGCACGGGCAGAGACAGCACCACAAAGAAATGAAGCTAAATTAAGTTCAGACCACTCTGCAGCCCTTATCTAAATCCGCAAAAACACAAAATTCACACATTGTTTGGTCCTAACAATAGTAGAAATAGATTTTCTCGAGTATAATACAGGAGTACAAAGTATTTCAAAATTTGTATGCAAAATTCACCCACATGTCCACTTTACAGACAAACCTGGTTACACATCTTGACCACCAATGACTTGTCATTAGAGATTTCACATCTCAGACATGTTATTAGATAGTCCCACAGTGTACACATCTTTTAAAATGGGTACACTATTTACCAGAAAATAGTTGTACAGGTGAGGTGTTATATAGTTCATTCCAGATCCAAGAAAACCTAGTATAATGAGATTTACATTGTAAAGTAACGAGATGAAGTAGAAGTTAGTGGTAAGGTTAAAGGGAAAAAAAATTGAAATGAAGCAATGAAACATCCAGAAAGAAGTATCAAACTGATTATAAAGAATCTGATTTATTTTGGCTATCCCATCTTCAAGGGAGCTCTGGTGGACTAGTGGATAGAGACGTCCACCACCAGCCCAAAGACAGGCTATTAGAAGCCATCAGCTGCTCCTCTGGGGAATGATGGACAATCCTCTCTCACATGATTTAAGCCTGCTGAAAATCAGCCGGAGGGTCAGCTCTAAGCTCATTCCAACCCGACACCAATGAGTTCTGTTGCTGTTATTAGGTGCCAATGAATTGCCTTCAACTTACAGTGGCCCTCTACACAATAGCTCTGAATCCTGCTCTATCCTGAGCCAATCTCACTGTCTCAGACATACCTACTCCCATTGCCCCAGTTACTGGGTCAATCCATCTCATTTCACCCAGGGCTTTCCTCTCCTGTGTTGTCCCTTGACTTTTCCAAGCAAGGACTGGTCCCTCCTGGCTATGTGCCCAAAGTATGTGAGATGGAGTCATGGATTTTTTAAAAATTTCATCTTCAAGTATGAAAGCTCTAAGAAGTGGCTCCATTATTTCTACAATTGTTGAAAACACAGGAAGAAAATGTTCTGTTACTAAGGCTGCTGTCTAGAACAGGGCATGTGATTGTTGTTGTTGTTGTTATGTGCTGTTGAGTCGAGTACAACTCACAGCAACCTTACAAATAATCACTCTGAGCCCTGTCCTATCCTGTGACATCCTCACAATCTCTGACACACTTGAGCTGCAGTCACTGTGTCAATCCATTTGGTTGTCATCCTTGCCTCTAAGGAGCACTCTGGCCAGCTGGAGGATTCACATGGTTTACCTTCAGGTTGAGCTACCAGAACTCAACCAAGAGCCCTGGGTAGTACTTCCAAATTCAACCGTGACAGAGTACAACTAGATTATCCTTTTATCTTAAGCAATTAAGAAAGTACACAAAGTACATAAAGTACATAAGTTCCATTGGACAGTAAGTAGCACAAGGAAATAATCTTTGACTGGAAAAATCAAGATGAGCCCTATGATTGCCTCATAATATTCCCTGGACCAAGTTTCCAGACTGCCGTGCAGAGAACAATGAGACAGAGTTCAGACAGGGGTAACCAAGTAATCTACAAGAATGTAGTCCTTGAGACTTCAGCTCAGTATTGATCCACAAATGTGTATGAGGAAAAGACCCAAAACTGGGAAAGGAACAACCTTCATAGATATATATAATAATTTCTAGAGGCCATTCACATTTTAAACTAGTTCATGTTTCCAGCAGCTGCAGTAGAAAGATAGACTAATATGTGGGGCACTATTGTTCAAAACTGTTTTTCCTAGGCCAATGCCTTTGACTTTGCCATATGGCTGGGCGGGAGTATACAAATAGGGTATGTTATTCTATATACAAAGGGAATGGCTAGTTTCACCAGTCCTCCACATTTATACTAAGCAGATTCAGCAGCAAAAATTTGGGAAATCTCACTACCAGCAGTAAAGCAGCAGCAGCAGCAGCAAATGAATGCTGCACCTATCCTTTTTTAACACTGGTCTTAAGCCGCAAGACTGAAGGCTGAAGGGCCTGCAGGCATACTTCAGAAGCAGTCTAAGAAACTATCCTGTTGCCAACATGAACTGTATCCTGTTAACTTCCTTAATAAAAACCACGACATGAGTATGGTTCTGTGAGATCTGTGTAACAGATTTCATACTATTTTAATGGGTTTCGGACCTAGTATAATGGTAGGACTGTTGCTGGAATTGATGGAAATAGGTAAGAGAACATGCGAAATATTTCTGACATGATAGGAATGGGTTTTGTGTAAGGAATGCTGTCGATGGGGTCAGTTCGCCCTTCTGGAGTTAAGAGGAGTCAAACTTGGCCATCCTCACTGTTTACAGACATGGAGGAAAACAACTCAAAAAGGGTACTGTCGTTGTTAGGTACAGATAAATTGATTTGACTCAGTGGACCCACAAGATAAAGCAGAACTGCTCACATGATTTTCTAGGTTGTAATACTCTTTATGGAAGAAGATATCTGTTTCTTTTTTGTATGAAGCTACTGAAAGGGTTTAGTTACTGGGGTTAAACAGCCCAAAAGGTGTGGGCTAAAGGTCTAGAACAACTGATTATAAAGCAAGGTGCCAAAGATTCAAAATAGTATCTCTGATCTCCATCAATTTTGAGAGCCTCCTTTTTTAATCAATGCCTTTAATCAATGCTTGGGCATCTTCCTTCAGTACCACTGGGTTGTGATAATATGCTGCTCCCTCAAATGGTTCAGTGATCACCAATTCTTTCTGGTATAATGATTCCTTCTATTTTCTTCTGATATTCACTGTATGTTTCAGTATTTTGATAATACAATCCTTTAGTATTTCAACTTCAGGACTGCTCTCCTCTCTGCCCCGTTCATTCAACTTGAGCAAAGTCTGACATGTTCTTTCACTTTTGGTTTTCTAAGTCCAGGTACAATACTCCTCAAGCTCCCTTTGACATTTTCTGTTCAGCTTTCTTACTGCATCAGTTCTTCCAGTAACTTTTGTTCTCTAGGTCTGAGTCTCTTCTGACATTTATTTTGATCAGTTTTTGCTTTCCCCAGTATATCATCCCACAACCCGCTTGATCCTTGGTCATTAATGTTCAATGCATCAACTCTACCCCTGAGATAGATTCTCAATTCAAGTAGGTTAAACTAAAGGATGTAATCTGGCTCTTCTTAAATGCATAACTGATCAATTTCAGACAGCAGAAGATATCAGAAATCCTCCTTCATCTTGGTCTTTAGTGTTCCTGAATAGTTGTAGACTAATCCATAGACAATGCTAATCTTTTCTCGATTTACTTTTAACTTTGTCTACTAGCCCGGTTTTCTTGATGCTGCTGAGATAGAATCCATATTGAAGGCTGCAGTCCTTAATGT